CTTTGCGGTGGTATGAGCATGCAAATTAAATAGGCAACCTAAAAGAATTAAGGTGACTCTTCTGGTTATGAATTGGGAAATGGGGCAATATAAATGTGTCTTCTTACTTTTGGTGAAAAAGTAAGAGTTATTTGCAAGCCCAGCTTTGATAAGCCTTTTTAAAATAATTTTTTAAAATATCATAGTATTCAAAGTATATAAAACCATAGGAAATGATACCAGCATTAAAATTAAAACAAGATAACAAGAGACTTGGAACATATTTTATTATCAATTACAAACAGTTTTATTATCTGTAAAATTTCATCCCATGTGCAAGGGATATCACATCTTTAGGTCGTGTTTTGGCCAATAGCTAGCGCTGAAGTGTAAGTAGTTCATATTATTTCTTAAAATTTTAAAATTACATGTATCTGTAATAGCATATCTACCACCAGCAGTATGTTACTTAAAAAATCATATGGCTTTCCTTAAATCAATTTGAGGTTTCAGCATAATAGCCTTAAAGCAATTGCCATGTGTACAGTTACATTTTATACGAGGGGGCACTCCCCAAAACTGATGTTCATTTGTCTCTTTGATGTGAGGGGGCTAGTGCCTTTGGCGTTCCTTCTACCAGGTCAGACTGTTAATCAAGCTTTCTAGATAGAGGTTCTGAAAAGATTTCATAGCCGTGTGGGACAAAAGGCCTAATTTGTGACAGATGAGGGGACTAGCTTTGCCACCATGACAATGCACCTACTCGTGCATCCATCTCAGTGTGCTAGTTTTTGGCAAAAAACAGCATGCCTTTCTTGCTCCACGTACCTGACTCACCTGACATTGCTCCATGCCACATCTTTTGCTTTCCATGAATGAAGCAGGGCATGAAAGGATAACAATTTGACTATGATGGAGAAGAGGGGAAGGAAAAGACCAGGGAGGAGCTGTGCTGTCATGTTTCCAAGAATGGAATCGCAGATTTCACAAATGCATTAAGTGTATTGGAGAATACTTTGAAGGTGATAAAGTTGTTTTATAAAAGAAATTTAAATACATAGTTTTTTGGGGGGGAGGTGATTCCAGGATTTTGGGGGGTACCCCCTCGTATTATCAAACCTTTCACTAGGTTATAGACAACTGCTGTACGCAATCCTAATTACTAGAATATTAGTATGAGAATCAAATTTAGCACATAAACAGCTTAAAAGTTAAATTTTAAAAGAAAAAAATATCAAAAGGTTATTTTATGGCGCTAATGAACATTTGGGGGCAGTTTTTTAAAATTTGAACAGAACCTAGACATTGCATACTTTCAGATGGAGAAGTATTCTTACTCCAATTCTGTTTACTTCAAGTGTATGATTTTGCTGTAAGGAAAGGGATAAAATGCGTACTTAGAGAATAGTTCTTCATCTTTACAGTTTGTTTTTTTTTGTTTGGGTCAAAAATAAAAGTCAGTGTTCATAAGAAATCACAATACCTGTTAAAAAGTAGTATAAAGTGTTTTTTATATGTAAATTGTTTTAATGTTGCCTTGTTTTCAGGTTCTCTGGGTTCATTATATTTAGTCAAATTTACTGTGATAACGTTTTTCTGATTTCTGTTTAGTGGTCTAGTATATCTCATAACTGAAGTCAGAGAATAATGGTTTTTGGACTTAGTTGTTTGACTTTGTTTTGAACCGTTTTCTTAGTGATTCTGTACCATATAGAACGTAAGGTTTTGTTTTGTTTTGTGTTTTTAAACCTAAACCATAATCAAGAAAATGAGAGAAAAGCAGACATAAGTTAATATGGATGCTTTGTGGTTTGAGGGGTTAGGGGCAGGGAACAAAATTCTGAAAATCATTTACCTATAAAGCATGTGTTCCCTGAATTTCTGTCTTGGAGATTTTACACACACAGACACACAACATGAATACTGGGATAAGTCTCTTAAGTCTGTTTTGAAAAAAGCCTCTTCAGTGTGCATTCTTAGTATGAAATAATTATTTATCTTTTTGGATCTATATGATTGCTTGGCTCAATTTTCTTGTAACAAATTATGCGCTTATTTTTTATATTACCACATCAGCATTATATTGAAAGTGTTTTAAATAGTTGATTGCATTTTGTCAAACAAGTACTAGTATAGACTCAAATTTGCTACTTAATTTTTGAAATACAACTTATTTTATTTTGTTAATTGTTTGAACATTTTAATTTTGAATTAGAAATCATGTATACTACCTGTATGTTAAAGATGAATATGGCATTGAAGTAGATTTTGTGTCAATGGTTGGGAAAAGTTCAGTTAGGAAAGTTAAAAAGTATTTTTAAAAGTATTTTTTTAAGCTCTTAGCTACATTCTGTTACAGTAGTATGAAAACCATTACCCTTTACTCCAAGAGAATGTTTTCATGCAACCAAATATCTAATACTGAAAAAGCAGTCTACATTAAGTTTAAGATGACACCTGATGAAAAATGCAAATTTAGTGCCTTTACTCCTTGACTGGCTTATTTTGAGATAAGTTCTCAATTGTCGACTCTGCCTATTCTTTAGAGAGCAGATTAGCAGGCAAATTTATTGAACAGGAAAATAAAAATCTCACCCTCCCTTGAACGTCATGTATGTCTAGCAAGGTTTTGAATAAGACTTGGGAACAAGCCGTAGATTATTCTACATTTGCTTGTAGTTTCAGGACAAGTAAGTTGTATTTCAGCAAGTCTTTTCTATCGATTATGAAAACTAAAATGTAATGTTACTGCCCTTTTAAATTCAAACATGACATTTAAAATTAACATTTGGGACATGTTACTTCATATTTAAACTCATCATTCTTATTGAAGCCTTCTGAGAAATCTTTAGGCGCCCCTGGTGGCTCTATCAGGCCAGGGTTGCTAACTAGAAGGCCACTGGTTCAAACCCACCACCTGCTTTGCAGGAGGAAAATGCTGTCTGCTCCCATAAGGTTCTAGCTCTGAAATCCCATGCCGGCCAACCACTGTGACTTGACGGCAGTGGGCTCTGGTGGGTTTTGAGAGCTCTTTAGTGGTAGCCAGCCCCTTTTACACTGGACTGTAGTGCATGCATTGAATTGTTAATATAGTTAGTTCCTTAAAATCTGAAGTCTACTCAATCTGTTAAATACACAAAGATTAGGTACACAAAAGGTATTATCACTTATATTCAATAGAGGAAAGAAATTAAATTCAAATTCCATTGCTAAAAATAATTTTTAAATGGGCACATATAGCTGCAGTCATTTTGATTAAAGATAATTTAACCTTCAGTATTTATATCGTAAAGTGAAAAGAATTGTTTTCCTATGGAAATAGTGAATGATATAGGCAGTGCTAACAGAATCATGAGGAAACCCCAAATAAAACAATAAAAACGTGAGGGAGCGGACTTTCGGTGTATCTTAGGGAGAATTAAAAGCAGAATTGTTTCTAACTAGCATTCTCATTTAATCCTTTACTATGTGGAACCTTATCAGTAGAAAAATATCAAAATACCAATTATGATAGACAAATTTCACTGGTATTTATCTTTGGAGACTAACTTTATGAAAGTATTTTTTCATCTATTTTTTATCTTTGGATCCCAAAACTCCCAATCCAGTTCAATTTGTCTATAAAGAGGTGACTGTAAACCTTAATTTGGCCATTCTCTTGCTTACTTTACAGCATTTCTTTACTGTCCATGGACTTGCTGCTTTTGGTCTGTGTTTTTTCTCCTACTGAAGAATTTATACAAATTAGAGCTCTAGCATACAACTTTTTCATTTTAAAATCCTGAATCCTTATATGCTCTCATTTTAATTGGAAATCTCTATTAGTTGATTTCTGCAGTGGCGCAGACCTAGACGTGTTTTGTTCCCTTCTACAGAGGGCACCTATGAGTTGAAACGGACTCCATAGTGATGCCCAGTCACGTCATTTAGTATGTGAATGCAATCCGTTTTTGTTTTTAAGTATCAATTAGCAACTGGTATTCAGCTTGAACTAATAGCAAGTGACAGTACAAACGAAAATAAGCCATATGCTAAGGAAAGGAGGTTAAGTTGCTTGTCGTGCACCATTGTGTCTAAGTGGAAAATAATCTCCCAGGGAATTTACCTGACTTTACTTTTCTGGCATTTACAATTCGGAGGGAATTACAGAATTTGTTCAGAGTTCATTGGCTTTAAGTACTGCACCAAACTCTCCTTCTGTTTTGCTTCCTAATTTTGGAAGTGTAGTGTAGCACAGATATCTGTATAAATGTGAAAATGATTAATACTCAGAGCCAGCTTCTTCAGCAGTGCCTCGTCCTTATCCACTTAATGGAAGACTGAAATCCAAATGCTAGATTCCAAAAGGAGAATTTTTCTTTAATGTTTACGGTGACCAAAGCTAAATAGAAAGGCGAATAAGTAAAAGGTAGCAACTACTGCATTTAACTTTTAAGATACAGGATATAATTTGTTCAGCAGATCTACAGACAGCTTTAAATATTTGTTTTAGTGATTCGCTCAGTGGTTCTCAACCTTCCTAATGCCGCGACCCTTTAATACAGGTCCTCATGGGGTGGTGACCACCCCCACACCCCCAACCATAAAATTATTTTCGTTGCTACTTTATCACTGTCATTTTGCTACTGTGATGAATCAGGCAACCCCTGTGAAAGGGTCATTCGACCCCCAAAAAGGGGGGTCA